TTTGATCAGCAATTTCATTGGGAAAGCCAAAATCCAGAGTGAAAACACATCTTCTGTGAAGGATTACATCATAAAGTGTATGAGAGCCCATCTGGAATTAGGGATGAACTGAACAGAAGAGTTCAATTCAGTTCAGTAGACAGATATGGAACATCTACTTTGAGCCGGAACTGTGGCTAAGGCGGAAGTTTAAAAATCGAAGAAATTGCTTGGTCTCAAGGACCTCATGGTTTGTTAACCAGTCTTGTGTTAAAAATTCAAATACTTGGAGTAGTTTGAGCCCACGTAACAACTGATGTTCAAGATCTACTTGGATTTATTAGAAGTAACCAACTAACTTTAGAAATTCCCAGCTGGCAAGTTACCTGGCCAGTACCCTGAGAAATGTCAATCTTCATAGAACATAAAGCAAAACTGTACTAAGCATAAGGGTAGTTCCTTGATTACTTAGATTTTCTTATACCCTGTCTCTTCACTTAAATTTCTTTTAATACAAATAAGATGAGTTTAAGCAAACAGGTCTAGCACCAGATTTAATTCAGCTTCAGTTTAAATAGTGAAAGAAAACTAAGGGACTTTCTGCTAGATTTCAGTCACCAAGTTGGGTTGTATGTTTATCCCAAACAGGTCTTTGCTTTCAGATAGCATGGACAATTACTATTGTAGTGAAATAAATTCTGCCAAGAAAATTAATCTGACACAGAGTAATAAGAGTTATGATGCATTAGGTAATTATCTATACAGCATAAGTGATGTTCTAGAGTACCATCATTTAAAAATTATTTCCACGTGGTTAAATCAAAGTCAGATTTTTTCCTGGACCCTTTTTAGTCTCCTCTATATGAACAACACCAAAAGTAAACAATTTTACTAGTACTATGTTCATAGTGAAATACATTTTATGTCCTACCCTACTCCTACAAACACCAAATGTATAAACTCAAAGAAGAGATATTGGATTTAACCTCCTATAGTTCCTATCCCAGTAACATAACTATTTCACTTAAGCCCACCTTGATTGCATTGTCTCTGTCTTATGCATTGTTACCTAAGCCCACAACTTTGCAGTCTCTGTAAAAAAAAAAAACAACTTTAAATTACCCTAATATATTTTTTAAAGATTTATTTATTTATGCATACAGAGCTGAGGTACAGGCCAGAGGTGCAGGGGCCGGTGAGAGGATTCACCAGAGACAGAGAGGGGAGCAGAACAGGCAGATTGAGGAAGTACACTGCTGAGGGGAGCAGCGGGTGGGCCAGGAGAGGTCTGCCACGCCCTGTGGAACACCTCGGGGCAAGGATGGAACTCTTGCTGAAATGGCTTTAGCTTCTCAGTGCTGTGCTTTAACTGGCTGCACCACCAGGGAGGGCCCAAATCAGCCTAATTTTGACTGTGCATTCTGCTCTTGCTGTCTCTTCCTTTCACCGTAGGCCTGGATCAGAAATCTGTTGTTGGCTTCACACTACACTACTCCAATGAGACTAGAACATCCACTTCTCTGTGATCCCCCCTAGGAGATCTAGGGTACTGAAAAGCTTCAGTTATGAGAAGCTGATTGGGAGGCTCAGATGATCACTCTACCATGTTATTCCAGCTAGGGATGGTTTAAACTGGCAAGTGAGGGTGAGAACTTATGCAAGTGGTGACTTAGTAAAAAAGACCTGTGGATCTTGGCATCTGAGTGGTTCAGATACAGGAAGATGGGTAGACAAGGATGAGGACCGGTATTGTCTGTGAGCCCCTGGTTCTAGTCCATGGACAGAAATGGCACATGTGTATCTGCCCTGTAGGAAACTTCCATGTCTAGCCTTCAGCTGCAGTCCATCTTCTAGAATCCCAGTCCCCATTACAAAGTCACCTTTGCCCAGGGTCCAGTAGGGAAAGGAAGGTGAAAGCATCTGGGTTTTGTAGGGTTTGGAAGTGGAGATAAGAGGATGAGTGGGGGAAGAATTAGGAGTGAAAATGATTTCAAACATTTTCCTATGGCTCTCAATGGGGAGAATGACAGATTGTGCCTTTCTGTCTCTTGGGTTGTCCCTGCTGTGTTTATTCCTTTCCTTTAAAAATTTTCACTGTCTAGGTGTGTATGACTGAAAGAAGAAAAAAGACAATTATTTACATATTTACTATTGAACATAATATGCATTAGAATAGTACTAGAATCTTCGAAGTATCACGCATCCCCAACAAGCACCCTCCTCCCTCCTCTGAGTTAACCACAATCTTTAACTGGGTATTAATTAGTCCCTTTCTCTCTCTCTCTCTTTTCTGCCTGGTCTGTGTTTCCCTGAAAAATATATTATCTCACTTGATCTTTGGTTTTTATATAAATGCTGAATTGTTTCTGTCAGTATCCAGCAAGGATAGAACATACATTCAAAATTAGGCTAATTTAAAGATTTTTTTTTTTGCAGAGACCGCAAAGGTGTGGGGGTAGATGACAATGCACAAGACATAGAGAGTGCAATCAAGGTGGGCTTAAGTGAACTAGTTACATTAATTGGTAGGGACCTGACAGGTGAGGTGGAGGGAGCTGGTACCAGATGTGGAGGAAGGGTGTCAGAGTCATCCACCTTGAGAGGTGCAATGATAGATTCTTAGGGGTCACCTAGGGCAATAAATAATGGATCTCACTTTCTTCTCTTCCTGCTTGGGCTCTAAATTGATGTAAGATGTTTTAGAAACAGAGGCACAAGAACACATAGCTGAGGCACTTACAAGTCAGGTGTAATTCAGTGTAGTGGATGAGGCTCAGTAGGGCAAGGGGCAGAATGGAAGATGTCCAGCATATAGATTAATTATTTTATGATGTACTTTTTCAGTTAAGTGTTTGAGATTCAGCATGTTGATATGTTTAATTGAAATTATTCATTTTCAAACTATTTTTTAAAAATATTTTTCGGTGGAATTATTTATAATTTATTTACCTGTTTTTCTGATGATGGGTATTTTCCAGTTTTTACTGTCCCAGTGTTGTTGTGAACATCCTTGTTAATGTTTGTTGATATTTGTGTACCAAAATTTGTCTGGAGAATATAATTACAGAGAATTACTGCAGTGGGACAAAAAGTGAAATTTACCAGATGAGGTCAGATTGTTTTCAAAGTAGTTGCATCAGTGAATCTTCCTATCTGAAGTATATGAATTCCTTCATATTAAAGTGCTTGGTATTTTCAGATTAAACATTTTTGGCCACCTGGTGGGTATAGAATATTATTATTTCACTGTAGTTTTAATTGCATTTCCACTAATTTTCATACGGTTATGTCCTGATGATGGGTAGGAGACTTATATTTCCTCTGTTGTGAAATACCTGCTCAGGATTTTTTCCTCCTTTTTTCTATTGTGTTTTAATCTTATTATTGTATATAATACAAATCCTATGATAATCATATCTGACAACTTTGCAATTTGCAAATCATTAAAAATGTATATTTTTGTGCTTTTTAAACTTCTTTACTTTATTGTAATTAAAATGATCAATCCTTTCCTTTTTAGCTTGTTCTTCTTCAGGAAATTGAGATCCAATATTCTTAACACAAAATTTGTCATTTTAAGTGTATGGCTCAGTATCATTAAGTATATTTACACTCTTGTACCTCTATAACCACTATACTAAAAAGCTTATACCTTTTCTTAACATTATGTTTAAGATATTTGTTTTAAATCTTTCAAGCTTTGCCTTTCACTTGTAAGTCACTTATGCAAACAAGAGTTATGGTGTAGGCCAGAGGTGCAGTGGGGGAGGTGAGAGGATTCACCAGAGACAGGGGGAACAGAACAGGTGGATCTATTGAAATACACATGTTAGTCCTTAAAAATATCTGGAATTTATTTTTCTGTATAGTGGCAGGTAAAAAATGCATCACTCCCATAGAGAGAGCCATTGTCTTAGCATCATTTAGAATTGTACATTGTTTCTCCATTTATTGTATTGTGGATCTGTTGTAATGCAGGCTTCTTCATAGCTATAGGTCCACTTCTGGGTTCTCTGCTCTGTTCCATTGGCTGATTTGTCTTGTACCAATATCAATATTGTATTATATACTATGGAATAGGATAAGTCTTCCATCTGAAATACTACTCTCCTAAAGATATATACTACTAAATCCCTAAATTTCTTCTAGCCTGCATTCTTAGTCAATCTTTCTTGGCCAACCATTCTGAAATTTCAGTACCTCTTCCAAAAATTCTATATCCTTCTTGCTTAATTTTTCTATTTAGAGACGATTATATAACACTAATATGTATCCTTCTCTTGTTTATTGTCTCTCCTCACAGAATATACAGCTTATGAGGGCAGGTATTTTGGGCTGTTTTGTTACTTGTATCTTCTGTTCAAAAACTATTGCTGGCACTTAGTAGGTGATCAATTAGTATTTCTGGAACCAACCATATAATGATATACGCAAGGCTAACTTGTGTAGGGGCAGTGACAGGATTCATCATAGACAGAGTGGGGAGCAGAACAGGCTGACTGACGAAGTACACTGCTGAGGGGAGCGGATGGGTCAGGAGAGGTCTGCTGTGCCATGTGGATCACCTCCCGGGTTGGGGATCAAACTCATACTGAAGTGGCTTTAGCTTCTTAGTGCTGTGCTTTAATCCACTGTGCCACCAGGGAGGGCCTGTGCTTACTTTTAGAAGTATGCTTTTCCACTAGTTCTCTTGCTCCTTGATGCCACACTAATAAAAAAAAAAATCTGAATCAAAGGGAAAATAAACAAGATGCTTGTCTTGGTTTCTTCCCCAGCCAGGTCCCAAAGGAAGACAGGGATGGAAAGGGTGAAGGCATCAGCTGTTGGCTGTCCATGCATTAGGTTTCCTGGGTCAGCTGTCCTGCTGGAAATGCCCCCTGTTCACCTGCTTTCCAGGACAGGCAGAGTTGGTAGACCTAGAGTTTTTAGCAACCTCACTGTGGAAGAAAACTTACCACAAATTTGGTTTTTAGGGTGACACACCCTGAACAAGGGAAGAATGAACACTCTCATTGACTTACCAAGCTTTGTAACTAAAATCTCCACTGCAAGTATGAGTATGGGGCAGAACTCCTGGAGCCCGTAGCTTCCTACGGATGAATTCCTGGTGGGACAGCCTGTGGTTGGCAGGCACAGAACTGAGAAGTGATGGAAATTCTGTCAGAGAAGGTACTCTGTGCTTATTACAGGCTAAATGGGGGAGCCAAGTCATTTTGGAAGGAATGTGTATGAAGTTTCCAGATGAAAATTTGAAGTTTTATAGGTTTGGGTCACACTTGATTCAAACCATCTGTTGAATGTCAAGCTAAAACCAGCACTTTTTCATACATTTTACATTTACATCAATTCAGTACGGTAAATATCTGTTTAGGGCCATTGAGTGCCAGATAGGGGAATTCAAAAATTAATGACACAGTGGTCCTTATGTTTGAGATGCTTAAGATGTAGTAGAAGTAAAAGCTGTGTGTTTATATTTAGTTTCCTCTTCCTGATGGGGAGGCTGGAATCTGCAATTTACATGCCACATGGTTGCTAGGGCTGAACCCGTGTCAGTCCATTTTTGTTGATGAAATAAATACATGAAAGAGCTTCCAAGGCTTTACTAAATCTGGCTACTGAAATACATGACATAATCATGCATGTGTGGTACTGTGATGTGGATTCAGATAGCAATTACCTTAGGACACAGAAAATACTCTTTATAGTAATGGAGGCACCAAAATACCGAGGCATTAAACAAACAATAAAGATGCTGTCACAAATTCTTTTGTTCCCTGGACTTAATTGATTTTTAATATGATGGAAAGGCAGCTATTACTTGGGCTGCCTAGCAGAAATGCTATTTAGTAAGATATTGGGAATGTTAAACATGAGCCTATTTTTCCAGTTCTGAGACATTATGTCATCTTTTGGTTTGGAAGTTGCTATTGGTGGTGTAAATGATACGGTCAAGCTTTTACACCACTGTCCTCTGTGGCTATCACCTGCGGCCTTGATTGTGCTAATGCAGGAGGCACTTGGCATGGGCACAGGGCACACCTGTCTGATGGTGGACACCTGAGTATGGTGTGGGCACACGTGAGTGTGCACAACTGAGCCTGGAGGCGGAGGCTATAAGGGCAGTGGAGAACGGCTATGGCTACGAGGGGAAGAGACCACAAGTGAACACCAGAGATGTTGTGGCCGTCCTTCTACCAAGGGCCTCGGCACTTGTGTGCCATGGCCTCTCTATGCACCTATGTGTATAAATGATTTGGACTTGGCACTCCCGCATGACTTGAGACACTGGCCCAAATCACCAGGTGGCAGGGGATGCCTAGGTAACCACTGACTGATTGTGTGGTCAGGGTCTGAGGTGGTCTGGGAGTAGCTTGAAAATTACACCAAGCGTCTGCGCAGAACATTTTCCTTGTATTTGTAGTACATGTCCCCCTCTGTTCCCTATATAATTGATACCCGTTGATCCCTTTGAAGTCCTGTTTACAGTAAAGATGAATACTCTTTGTTTCTTTGGGATCCCATTTCTCCTGCCATTGTCACATAGTCAGTCATGCTTTTTCACTATTACTAAATAAATAGCCAGAGGGCTGTTTACTGGACAGCAGCATCTTGCCTTGCAAACCTGCTTCATGACTCGTCTCTCAGCTCGTCCGTCTCTCAGCTCATCCCCTGGGACGTGCTGGTGTGTCTTTAACCACCACAGAGAGAGGTAAAAGAGAAAAGAGTAAATATTTGTGGGGGCTGGAAGGCCTGCCAGCCTCCTGAGCCCCAGTCTGCCTGCTCTGTGCCTGGTTGCCTCAGTATACTGTGGTGGGCACTTGAGTGATCACAAACACAAAAGGGCCTAACTGAAAAAGAGCTTAACATCTAGAGGTGCTAATATTCCTAAGGAGTTGCACATGTATTCACAACCCTTTTCAATTAGTGTACAATTTTTATTTTATTTTATTTTATATAGGTGCATTTTTTTGAGAGGTGAATGGATAAAATCATCTAGTGGTTCATGTTCCCAAAAGATTAAAAACTTTTCAGGTAGAAGAATATACCTTTTGAGAGTATCATAGCACATGAAATTACAAAGAGCCTTGGGAGTGAAGAGCAGCCCAGGTAGAATCAGCAAAGGCTCAGTTGAATGGAGGAAGGCAGGATTCTAAAAGGAGGGAGGGCGTAGTACTCCGAAATACTGAGATCACCAACAAAAGAGACACAAAGTGGGGAAGTATAAGGCCTTATAAGGGAACAGCTGGTAGGTTAGAGTGTAAACTGGAAGGCAGCTGTAGGTGATCAATCTTGGGGCCCTGCTTTGTGAAAGTTTTAAATATTTATTGAATGATTAAAATAGAACATTAAAAATACCTTCAAATGTTCCTCTGTTCTACTCCACTGCCAATATTTAGTTGTCACTAATATAAACACTCTTATATTTGTGGTAGACTGTCTTAACTGTCCGAAGAAAAATTAAACCTATTGTAGACAAAAGAGCACTGGCATTTAAAATTAAACGTGATGCAATTTAAGACCAGATTGAGGATAAAGCCAAGGAAAGTTAAATGGAAATGAGTTTATTTCAGAGAGGCTGTTCTGCACTTAAAATTCTGGTGATGGATGACATCTGCCCAGATTGGACTAATGAGGACAAGGATACAGTGGGTATTTGGGGGAGTTCAGAAGGCAGCCTCCTCAAGCGGTCAGAAGCATCGTAGAAGAATGCAATGATGGTCCTCCTACAAGGTGGTCAATGGCAGGTAGTTGCTGTGATACTCAACATTGTTTCAAAATGCTTTGCATTTCTAAAAACTTGCACATCTCACCATATTCTTCACCGCGGATGACTTGCCTTATTAGAGCCTTCTACTGACACACTTGTAATGAGACATCTCCCCCTAGAGGCCACAAGTGAGGTTTACTTCTAGCTCTAGAAACTCGCAGAATCCGAGAGGCCAAGTAGCTGCTTACACTGGCTTTTGGGGGTTCGCGGTCCAAAAGCCACACCTTTGCTAGTGTTTTCCACTTATTAGACCTGAGCGATTCTATTTTCTGTCTAGCCCGGGACAGTTTTTGCGTGTGTGCATACATTCGCTTGGCACATTCCAGCTATCTTGCTGGGGACTCTCCATGAGGAAGTGTGTATATGTGTGTGTGTGTGTGCGTGTGTGTGTGTGCGTGTGTGTGTGTGTGTGTGTGAGAGAGAGAGAGAGAAATGAAATCAATCTGTACGTGTGGAGTTTGCCACCTGCGATCCCAGCAAATGCCTATTCGTTCTCCATTCCTACCCCGGGAGAAAACGATCAGTGACAGTCCTGTAGTCAAAGAGCTTCGTTTTCCTATTTCAGAAAATCTAACTTTCCCAAGCCAAATTATATTGCTTTACTCTCTGCCAGTGTAAATTTTTGTCACCAACATTCCAGCACCTTATATCAACCGTCAGAAGCTACTGCGTCAACCTGCAGGAGGTGCAGCTTAAAATTCAGCAACCAAAAGCACTTTGTAAGCCACGAAGTGAATAAAACTGCCTGGACTTCCCGGCCCTCCCACCAGGCATGCGCAGCGTACCAAGTGGGCTGGACGCGCGAGGACCCGCCTCTTTGTCCCAGCACATCCGCTTCCGCAATGAAATGCATCTGAAATTTCCCGCCACCCGGGAAAAGCGGCTCTCAGTACTTGTGTTTTTTCGCGTCTGCTGCGTTGTAGAGGAACTACTGCGGATTTATGAAGGACAGTAACCCTAGTGCTGACACTTGAAAGTCAAGAAAGGTAGAACATTTTGCTGTTGGTGGGAGCGTGAGGATTGAACTGCGGGGGTTGAGGGTCTAGGGATTGGTTGGTTTTTGGGGCAGAGACTCAAGTGTCAGTGAGTTGAACGTAGGCAGCTTTACGCGGGGAAGCTAGGTGATGCGTCGGGGTGTTAATTTCTACAAAGAATTGGTTGATCCTCCCTAACGGAAGTTCTGAAATAATGGATTCGGAGCAGTTGTTGCATTTACCAGGGTCGTAAGCTAGGAACTAAGTAACTGGATTGGTAGGTGAAGTCTTGTATCTACCGAAATTCTAAGTGCTTTCCTTGGAGATCAGGATTGCACGCGTGTAACCTCACCTTAATTATTAATTAACTCTTGGGATTGCAGAATGGTGCAATGGTGGGACATAGATCTCACCTGAATTTAATTTTGCTGAAAGTTCGGACACCACCTGTGTCTCCTCTAGTAAACACCACCCCCACTGCTCATTAAAGAATTTTTCACAGGTGTGTTGTAGAAAACCCGGAAAATGCAGAGTCGTCACTTAAGATAACCAGGGTAAACATTTTGTGCATCCCCTTTCAATTTATCTTATCTGTTCATGGGTAGTTTTTTTTTTTTTTTTTTTGGAGGGGGATAGGGAGCTAATGTTTTCCTTTCAATTGCACTTTACATTATTTTAACCTTTTTATGTGTGTGTGTGTTTTAAATAAGGTAACAAGATGCAGTTTTCTGGTGGAAAGTGGAGGAGACTGAAGTTGGCAGGTGACCAAAGGAATGCTTGCTACCCTCATAGCCTGCAGTTTTACTTGCAGCCACCTTCTGAAAACATATCTTTGATAGAATTTGAAACCTTGGCCATTGATAGACTTAAATGTGAGTAATACTTGAATAACAATTTGTATGTTCTTGAGCATTGCACTTACACTGAGGCAATGAGTAAGGGTAATTTATTTCCTTTAGCAATTCACTCAACAAATATTTATTGAGGATTTGATATCATTTATTTACTATACAATGAATTTTACTTGAGCATCTCTGTGTCTTAGGTGGCAGGGATTTTGAGATGAATAATTCTCACTGAAGCTTCTCATTGAATTTTATTCTAGTACATGGAGGCAAACATCCAAAATAATAATCATTATTTACTTTTTTATGTGTAGAGGTAAATTGTATTGCTCCTGAAAGTAAAGGTGGGAGGAACTGGTGTAATCTAATTAAGAATACTTAGAGGGTCCTCCCTGGTGGTGCAATGGTGGTGCAATGGTTAGGGTGCAGCACTGCAAGCTAGCTGCAGCCACTTCACCCTGGAGGTGATCCACATGGCGCAACAGACCTCTCCTGTCTTATTGTTGCTCCCCTCAGCAGTGTATTTCCTCTATCTGCCTGTTCTGCTCCCCACTCTGTCTCTGGTGACTTCTCTCATCACCCCCGCACCTCTGGCCTGTACCCCAGTTCTGTATACACAAATAAATAAATCTTAAAAAAAAAAAGAATACTAGAAAAGTTGAAAAGGACCTATCCTTGAATGATTAGTAGAAAATCTCAACAGAAATTGAAAGGTTTTTCTCAGGTTATTAGCTCAGGTAATAACCTCTACAGAGACTTTGAGACTTGAGAAAATATAATATTTTGGGGAACAGTGGCAAGTTTTAGAATAATGGAAAAATATGGCTAACCAAATGCAAGAACATTTTTGCTAATTGTGTATTAATGGGGTATAAGGAGGATGTAACAACTATATTTGGAGCCCATTTTTCCTGTGTGTTGGTTAGTAGAAGAAAGGAAAGAGCTAGTCATGAACTGAAACAGAAATGAGAGCATTTTCTTTACAGTTTATGTTGCAGGATCTCATTGTGGGGTAATCAGAAGGAGAGGTGAGATGCTGATAATCACTTTTAGGGAAGAGTTAGAACTGCTAATACAGAGAGGGCATGCTCAATATCTGTTGAATTAGAATGAGGGCAAGGGAGAAAAAGCTTTTAGGAAGTTTAGCACCCACAGAAGCTTCATAGGGATTAAGATGGCTGAAAAGTATCTCTGGGGTTTGGCACATAAAAGGTGAAATAGTAAGGGCCAGTACTAAGGTAGTAACAGTAGAGATTTTAGGGATGTGGGGAGGTATTGTTGACAAGATTTGGTGACTAGAAATGAAGAGTGAGCGAGCAGGAGAGGTCCAAGTTTTAGTTTGGACGACCTTGTGGTAGACCCTTCTGTCAGTGCAGTTGGGAATATTAAGAAGACACAGATTGAAGGGATATATATTGAATTTGGTTTGGGATATCATAATTAGGAACTTATGGGACATGAGTTTATATTCAAGGGATACTCTAAAACTTTTTATTCATGAATTAAAACATGCCTTTTGTATTGATGAAAGAATTTGTCTGAGGAAAGATTGACAAGGGGTTGTAGGGAACTTTGAAAGTATGTGACATCTTCTAAGGCCCGTGCATTTGAATGAGTTGAGGGCCGTACTCCTTCACTGTTATTTCTTCTCTGCTTCATCAGTAGAGGAAGGACTGTCTTTTGATGAGTCTATGCTGAGTCAGTGAAGCAGACTGCTTAACATACTCTACATAAAGGGTGCAAGGAGAGGGTGCTTAGTCTTCTTCCCAGGTCAACACTCTTTACCATCCGTCAACAACAGCAGCTCAATATAGCAGTGATTATCTGTCGTTCTTCCCTCCCTCTTTGTTGAGAATCCCTGGTTTTGGATTCTGTTGAAGAACATGCATGTTTTTTGCACAGAGAGAGGTTATCTTATAAAAATTTATACCTTACTCTGTATATTTGTAGAAAATGAAACCGTTATAACTTGTTATCTTTCATAACTAATTTTGAAGTTGCTATGTGTAGATTTTATCTGCCTTGGATTTAGTTTACATAATTAAAGGTGACTAAAGTTATGTTGCATTTATGTATTTTTCTTCTGCTCAAAAAATATCTTTTTTTAAAGTGTTGAAAGCAGTTGAAAATCTGGGCGTGAGCTATGTGAAAACAACTGATCAATACCGCAGTAAGTTGGAGTCAGAGATCCGAAAGCTCAAGTTTTCCTTCAGAGTAAGTAAGAGAGAAACAAATATTCCTTCATTTTGTAGATATATATTTATGAACTGAGTACCAGTTGTGGGAAAGATCTTGAATTGAGGCTCTTTAAAATACTTAATGTAGCATAACTTGTTGGAAGCTGCCTTTGGGCTTCCACAGGTGATGGATATGTAATCAGATGGTTATAATATTTCAGGGTGTCTCAGAATAGTTTTGAGCATGAGAATTCCTTGTTGCGGGAATTGCCCTGTGCATTTCAGGATGCTTGGTAGTATCTCTGGCTCTCACCCACTGCTATCTCTAGACCATCCCAAATATACCCTGAGTAATACCGGCTGATGAAGGCTATTGTTAGGTATGTGCTCCAGGAACTCCAAGACCACATAACCCAGCTTATACTGGGGAGGTTTGGAAGACTGCCCAGAGGAGGTAGTGCTGGAATTGTATCTTGATGGATGTGGTTTTTATTTTAGGAAGAAGACAGCAAACAAATTGACAGGATCATGTATGTTAGGAGGAAAATAAGTTAGGAGTATGGAAATGATGGGAGTCTGAATTAAATGGAGAGAAAAAGACTGGAGAGATACTAAGAGGGTAGGATCAAAAGACTTTAGGGACTGGTTGTAGAGAGGAGAGAGAGAGAAGAATTTTGAATTTCTAGTTAGGACAGCTAGGGTGGATGGTAATGATATTTTGAGATGTGATGTACAGGAGAAGACCAAGTCTTAGCAGGAAGACACTGAGTTTAATTCTAGACAGGAATTTGCGATGTCTTGTGGAGATAAGTTGAATAGGCATATGGGTCTGGGTGGACTTAGGACACCTCTGAGAGTATGGATTTAAGAGGAAGTTTGGAACTCTTAGGATTGGGGATGGCACCCTAGGGACATATTTGAGTGAGAAGAAAAGAAATAGAGGATAGATAGCACAATACCAATACTTTAGATGAAGTGGGATTGGGAGAGTCTGGGAAGGAGATTGAGAAGGTGCTGTGTGAGGTAGGTGATCAAACAGGATAATAGTGTCATAGCAGTCAAAGAGGGCTGGGTTTTGACAGTGGCCATGATGTTAACTGATAGAATAGGAATAACAACAGCAAACAATTATATTTTGCTTACTCTTACCAAATATTGTAAGTAGATTACTTGTGTTAACCCCAATCAGACAACAGTTTTATGAGGTAGGTAGTACTATCATCTCTCTTCTAACAGAGGAGGAAACTGTTATTGGTAGGCTGACTAACTCTCCAAACTCATAAGGTGATAAATGGTGGAGTCAGGATTTGAA